AACAAATTAAATTCCCCTTGGAGGAAGTTTCTGTTGAAATCTGTCCAATTCAACATCAAACCTGACACAAAAGAGGTAAAAGTCTGCAGCTAGAAGATTCATCCTTTTAACCAGTAAAAGTGTTGGTTTAGTCTTTTGTCTGATAGTCTTTGTTTTGGAATATTTAGAGCCTTGTTATCTATGTTTTTAGCTGTGCTAAGTTACGTTTATGGAGTATGTTTTTGGGGCTCTAAATCTGTGTTTAGAAAGCAAATATGTTTGCTTCTATTTTAACTCTTTATGTACCCAGAAAATTCTGCAATATGAATGTGCAATTTTCAGACTATTTTTCTCATCTTCTTCGTTCTTCTTTTTTCTCTCTGCATTTCCTGAAAACACTAAAGCCATTGGTTTTTTCTTCTAAGCTTAGTGAATTTTTTCATGCACAATGCACAATTGATTTTTCTGGTTTAGAATGAAGCTGTTTTATCAATTTATAACAGCTTCTAACATGGTATCAGAGCGATCATCGAGTTCGGGGATGTTCGCATAATGTACTATCACCACCATTGCAAGAAACCAACAAGAACTAGCAAGAAGTGAAGCAAGAACGTGGAGAAGAAAAAAAATTACAGCAAGAATATAAGCAAAAAGGCTACAGGAAGGAAAAGAAGATGCAAGGAACTCAACAACAAATTTTACCAATCTTTGATGGAAGAAACTATACTTTCTGGACTGCAAAGATGAAGACAACCTTGAGGTCAAGACGTCTTTGGAATGTTGTAGAGCAAGGCATTCCACCAAAACCAGAAGTTGGTGAAACTCCAACAGAGGAAGAAGTTAAAGCAGTGGAAGATTGGGATGAACTTGATATAAAAGACCAGTTGGCACTCCAACTTATTCAAGGTGCAGTTTCGGAAGAAATTTTTGGCGAAATCTCTGAAGTAGACACTGCAAAAGAAGCTTGGGATGTTTTACAAACAGAGTATCAAGGAGATACAAGAGCAAAGAAAATCAGACTTCAGAGATTGTGGAAGCAGTTTTATGCGCTACAACAAAATGAAGGTGAATCTCTTAGAAACTACATGAAACGGATCAGGGAGCTAGCCAATGAGATGAAAGCTCATGGTGGAGATCTGGTTGAGAATCTGGTTGTGTCAAAGATGTTGTGCTCTTTGGAAGAAAAATATGACGCTATGGTAGGAGTGATTGAGCAAACAAAAGATCTGGATACACTCACTTTGCAGGAACTTTTGAATGCTCTACAAGCTCAAGAACAAAGGTTTGATGACAGAAAAGAAACAAGTTCAGAGGGAGCATTTCAGGCTCGATTTAAAGGGATCAAGATATCCAACAAGGGAGAAGCAAATAGAAGTTCTGGAAACTTTAAAAAACCAGAACAGAGAAAAGGAAAGTTTCCAGCCCTTTTGAGCAGCTACAGCCAGCAACATTCTAATGGTTTCATGTCGAGAAACAGGCGCAAACGTCTCAAAATAGTCGACTCCATATTGTTGTGTAAATCCTTTCGCCACTAACCTCGCTTTGTGTCGAGTAACATTGCCTTCTGCATCCAGCTTCAATCTGAAAATCCACTTAACATCCACAACATTCTTCCTTTCTGGTCTTGCGACTAATTCCCAAGTTTTGTTTTTCTCGATCATATGGATCTCTTCTTCCATTGCCTTGATCCATTCTTGATGTTTTACAGCTTCTTCAAGGCTGCCAGGTTCTTCATGCGTTAGATAACATGCTTCCACAACATCTACAGCTTCTTCTAGTTCAACCCTTGGTGTGTCTTGCAACAGATTTTCCATTGATCGAAATCTGGGATGGAAAGTATCAGAGGAAAGAGCTTTGGCTGTAACAAACTCAGCTGAATCAAATCTTTGGCATAGAAGATTCGGTCATTTGGGTTCTACATATCTCCAAGTATTGCAGAATCAGAAACTTGTTTCTGGCTTGCCTAATTTTAAGGTGACTAAAGAAGTTTGTGAGGGTTGTTTGGTTGGCAAACAACACCGGGAACCTTTTCCGAAGGAAGCACAACATAGAGCGAGCAAGAAACTTGAGTTAATCCATTCTGATGTATGTGGGCCGATGGAGACAGATTCATTGGACGGCAGCCGGTATTTTCTCACCTTTATCGACTACTTTACTCATATGTGTTGGGTTTATTTTCTCAAGAGCAAGTCTGACGTGTTTTTAAGATTTAAGAAATTTAAAGCACTGGTGGAAAATCAAGCAGAGACTAAGATCAAGGTCTTGAGAAGTGATCGTGGGGGAGAATATTCATCTAAAGAGTTTGAGTTATTTCTGGAACAAAATGGTATTGAGAAGCAGTTTTCTGTTTCGTATTCTCCACAACAAAACGGTGTTGCAGAGAGACGAAACAGAACAATTATGGAGATGGCTAGATCGATGTTAAAAAGCCAAGAACTGCCTCTCAAATTCTGGGCTGAAGCTGTATATACAGCTGTGTATATACAGAACCGAATGCCGACACGAACGCTTAAAGATAAGACCCCGATTGAAGCTTGGTGTGGGTACAAACCATCTATTGCTCACTTCAGAACCTTTGGATGCATCTGTAATATACATGTTCCCGATCAGAAGCGATGTAAGTTGGATGACAAATCTAGAAAGGGGATATTTGTTGGCTACTCAAGCAGCAGTAAAGGTTTTAGAGTTTATATGCTGGACAAAAATTCCATCGAAGTGTCACGAGATGTCATTTTCCAAGAAGACAAAATCTGGAATTGGAGCCAAAAAACGGAGATACAAAAACACGTCATTTCGCCTTATATCTCTGCTTCTCATCAACTCACAAGACGCCAACAAGATAATGCAGAAAATTCTGAAACAAATCCAGCATATCAAGATGAAGGCAACTCTAGCGAGCCAAGGAGACCCAGATTTCGATCAATGGAAAATCTATTGCAAGACACACCAAGGGTTGAACTAGAAGAAACTGTAGATGTTGTAGAAGCATGTTATCTAACACATGAAGAACCTGGCAGCCTTGAAGAGGCTGTAAAACATCAAGAATGGATCAAGGCAATGGAGGAAGAGATCCATATGATCGAGAAAAACAAAACTTGGGAATTAGTCGCAAGACCAGAAAGGAAGAATGTTGTGGATGTTAAGTGGATTTTCAGATTGAAGCTGGATGCAGAAGGCAATGTTACTCGACACAAAGCGAGGTTAGTGGCGAAAGGATTTACACAACAATATGGAGTCGACTATTTTGAGACATTTGCGCCTGTTTCTCGACATGAAACCATTAGAATGTTGCTGGCTGTAGCTGCTCAAAAGGGCTGGAAACTTTTCCAACTCGACGTGAAATCGGCGTTCCTTAATGGAGAGCTAGAAGAAGAGATTTTTGTTGAGCAACCACCTGGTTTTATTTCTGAAGGAGTAGAAGATAAAGTGCTGAAACTCAAGAAGGCTCTTTACGGATTAAAACAAGCTCCAAGAGCTTGGTATGGTCGTATAGATACATTTTTTCTGGCTGAAGGTTTCGAAAGGAGCAAGAATGAAGCGACGATTTACACACAATGCCAAGGTACTGAAATTTTGGTTGTGTGTTTGTATGTTGATGATCTTATAGTTACAGGAAGTAACTTACAGCTGATGAACAAGTTCAAAGCAAGAATGATGGCAGAATTTGAGATGTCTGATCTTGGAGAATCGAGTTTCTTCCTTGGAATGCAGATTATTCAAAGTGAGAATGGGATTTTCTTAAATCAGAAGAGTTATGCTCAGAAATTAATCAAGAAGTTTGGTATGGAAAACTGCAAGAGTATCAGTACGCCGTTGGCGCCATTTGGGAAGAATACAGAAGATGCAGAATTTATGCAGAATCCAAGTCTGTATCGAGGATTGATAGGAGGGTTGTTGTATTTGACTTCTACAAGACCGGACATTATGTTTGCAGCATCTTACCTATCTCGATACATGAAGTAACCGACAGAGAAACAATTCAGAGATGCCAAGAGAGTGCTGCAATATATTCAAGGCACAATCGAATTGGGAATTCGGTACGAAGAAGTTTCTGAACCTGAATTAATTGGTTTTTCAGATAGTGATTGGGCAGGTTCGAGGGAAGATAGCAAAAGCACCACAGGTTACTGCTTTACCATTGGAAGCGGCATTTTCTCATGGCAATCCACCAAACAAGAGACTGTTGCACAGTCTACAGCGGAGGCAGAATACATGGCGGTTTGCGCAGCGACAAATCAAGCAATTTGGCTGCAGAGAATGTTGACAGATTTCGGGTTTGAAGTTCACAAAGGGATTCCTATCCTTTGTGATAACAAATCGGCAATTGCGATAGGGAAGAATCCAGTGCAGCATCGGAGAACAAAACATATTCAGATCAAGTTTCATTTTGTTCGGGAAGCTGAGAAGAATGGAGACATTAAGCTGAAACATTGTCCGGGAGAAGATCAAGTCGCCGACATATTTACGAAGCCACTCGGAACTCAAAGATTTGAAGAGCTACGTAAGAGACTTGGTTTGAAGCTGAATTGGGACAAGAGGGAGTGTTGAAATCTGTCCAATTCAACATCAAACCTGACACAAAAGAGGTAAAAGTCTGCAGCTAGAAGATTCATCCTTTTAACCAGTAAAAGTGTTGGTTTAGTCTTTTGTCTGATAGTCTTTGTTTTGGAATATTTAGAGCCTTGTTATCTATGTTTTTAGCTGTGCTAAGTTACGTTTATGGAGTATGTTTTTGGGGCTCTAAATCTGTGTTTAGAAAGCAAATATGTTTGCTTCTATTTTAACTCTTTATGTACCCAGAAAATTCTGCAATATGAATGTGCAATTTTCAGACTATTTTTCTCATCTTCTTCGTTCTTCTTTTTTCTCTCTGCATTTCCTGAAAACACTAAAGCCATTGGTTTTTTCTTCTAAGCTTAGTGAATTTTTTCCTGCACAATGCACAATTGATTTTTCTGGTTTAGAATGAAGCTGTTTTCTCAATTTATAACAGCTTCTAACAGTTTCTGCCTCCTTGGCAAACACGTCGGCGAATACGTCACGCGACTGTATAAAAGCATGTTCTTCGCGGTCCTCCAATGAATGAATACGCGCGAGAGAAATCCGATTCCGTACCAAATTCGGTGATTCTTTTTTGTCTTCTTTGATTATTGTATGAGTGTGAATCGTTTGTCGACGAGAATGGCGGATGTAATCAGCAAGAACGGCCTCGGAACTTCTGCCGCTGCCGCCGGAGCGACGGATTCTTCCGCGGCGGCGAGATCGAGATGGCATATGCTGTGGCCGACTGCTCTCCGGTGGATCCCTACCTCCACCGACCACATCTTAGCCGCCGAGAAGCGCCTCCTCTCCATCGTCAAGTACCTCTCTCTCTCTCTCTCTCTGCTTCGTGGATTTTGATTATTAGGAGGTCTCTGACATTCGAATGAGATAGAGATATTGGGAATTCGTGACGATTTTTTTTTCTAAACTTACGAGAATGAATATCTTAATTCGTTCTCTATTCGATTCGATGGCTCCATTATATAGGATGACAGAAGGAGAAACTCGCGTGAGTTCTCAGAATTCTGCACTTCGTGGTGCGAATTTGTGCTCGTCCTGTTTGGTCTGTCTTGGGCTTGAGAAAATCTTTAGGTCTCGTTTTGTTTTCCATGGATAGTGACGGAGGTCTGTGAAATGATAGAAGTAGAGCGTTTTACCAGGATCAACAGAATTGTGGCTGAATTGGTAGTGCTCAAAAGCTTGATGTTTGAATTGGAATCTCGATTTCTGCAAATAGATTAGAAACTGATGGGTTTTTGCAGTTGAATGCGGGTACATCTGGAGTTGCAATAGTATATCTAAACGGAAAATGTCAATCTAGTTAGTAATGACAACTATGTCTTAACTCTTTGTGTGCACATGATCAAACTCAGGACGCCGTATGTTCAAGAACAGGTCAACATTGGTTCAGGCCCTCCCGGGTCCAAAATCAGGTGGTTTCGTTCTACGAGCAATGAGCCACGTTTCATCAACACTGTTACCTTTGACGCCAAGGAAGGTTCTCCAACACTTGTGATGGTTCATGGATATGGTGCATCTCAAGGACTTTTCTTCCGGAATTTCGATGCGCTTACCAGTCGTTTTAGGGTTATCGCTATTGATCAGCTCGGGTAAGCAGCTAGAAAGTCATTTCTTTCTTGATTTGTGTGTGCGTGTTTTTTTCCCTCTTTTAGTTCAATCGAGTCACAATTTGCCTTCCTGCAAGTTGAACTTAAGTTGTAATCTTTGGACTTGCGTCTGCTTAATCCGTCGAAGGACTGTGCATCTCAATGTTTTTGCCGGATGTTATTTAGCGTTGGACTGAACCAGTGATCCAAGGGATGATCTATTGTTTCTTTGTTTTTATATACGTTACCGTTATTCAACCAGGAAAATCGGTAGAATATGCTCTTCACTGCTAAATATCCTGATAATTACGCTGGTTTTTCTCCATTTCTTCTCAGTTGGGGCGGATCAAGTAGGCCTGACTTTACATGCAAAAGCACTGAAGGTAATCATTTTTTCATTTAAAATATCAGAAAAATGAAGACCGTTACTATTTTCATCAATCCCTTTCTTGTTCGCTTGTTTAAAGTCGTAGCACCAGTAATGCTCATACCCTTTATCGTTTTTCTTGTTATGCAGAAACTGAGGCATGGTTTATTGATTCCTTTGAGGAATGGCGTAAAGCTAAAAACCTCAGCAACTTTATACTCTTAGGACATTCTTTTGGAGGCTATGTCGCCGCCAAATACGCACTTAAGGTGAATTCTTGTCCCTTGTCGTTCGTGATTTGACGAGCAGAAGGTTTCTGTTGTGGGGTTTACAGTTTTAACATTTTCCTGTTTCATGTCCATTGTTGTAGCATCCTGAGCATGTTCAACATTTAGTATTGGTGGGAAGTGCTGGTTTTTCATCAGAATCAGATGCCAAATCCGAGTTTTTTACTAAATTTAGAGCAACATGGAAAGGAGCAATTCTTAACCATTTATGGGAGTCTAATTTCACTCCTCAAAAGCTGGTTAGGTATGTTGCTCATAAGTATGTTTCGCGTTCTTCCGGCTTATTGTAAAGTTCCCTTTTGGCGATATATAAAAATTAAATCTTGACATCCACGCTCCTATGGATCATTGATCAAATTACTGGCAAGGTTACATTTGTTGAAATTTCTAGTTATCCTTTTGGTGCAGAGGATTTGGTCCTTGGGGCCCGGGTCTTGTAAATCGGTATACAACTGCGAGATTCGGTGCACATTCCGTGGGAACTGTCTTGACAGACGAGGAGTCCAAATTGCTAACCGGTTAGTCGGTTTTTTCTTTTTCCTTCTGATAATTGTGGTGTTGTTAAAAGCTGATGGATCTTTCTTTTTTTTTTTTTTTTTGCAAATTGAAGACTATTTCTATCATACAGTGGCTGCGAAAGCAAGCGGAGAACTGTGTTTGAAATACATCTTCTCCTTCGGAGCATTTGCCCGGAAGCCCCTCTTAAAAAGGTATAACCTCCTTCCAAAGATTATTTCACGTTTTCCGAAATTCTCGGATATCAAGTTTTGTTTGATCCGGTTTCGTTGCAAGAAACCGGGAATCGATACAAAGTTTAATTGACGGATCCAGATTTCAGACCTGGAAATTGTAGAACTCTAACCATAACATAACGGTATCGGCTATTGGCTCTCTCTTGGGCAGCGCATCGGAATTGAAAGTTCCAACGAGCTTTATATACGGATCCGAAGATTGGATGAACTATCAAGGTGCAGTGGAAGCCCGGAAACAGATGAAGGTTCCCTGCGAAATCATCCGAGTTCCAAAGGTCAGTTTTCGCGCAGCGTAAAAGAAGAGAAAAATAGCAGAACTTAAAGATATCTGATTTCGATTTTGGGTTTTTGGTTTTGGTTGGTGGAGGCAGGGAGGGCATTTCGTGTTCATAGATAATCCGACAGGGTTCCATTCGGCAGTACTCTATGCTTGCCGTAGGTTCATATCTTCTTCGGACGCCGATCCCCAACACGTCCCTCTCCCTGAGGGTCTTCAGTCTGTTTAGTATTATTTATATGTGTTTTATGTGTGTGTGTATATATATACGTTGTTATATCCTCACATGAGGAAAAAATAAAATAGTCAAAATGAAAATTCATTTCATCTGTTATGCTCATTACTTGTTCATTCATTTCTTCTGTTGTATCGGATTTTTTTTTTTCTGGCAGATTGGTGTAATATTTTTGTTTTTTACATTTATCAATTTTTTTTCTAAATATTATGTCTATTAGTTTAAAAAATATTTTTATTAATTTATATATGTTTAATATAAAATACATTTCTTTGAATTTGTAATATTATAGATATATTTATAATAATATTAATAATTCAATATTATAAATATCATTAAGATTAGAATTGTAATACTAAATATAATAACGTTTTAAAATTTTGTTGAGATTTAATGTGAAATAATAAATATACTATTTTAATATAACAATTTTATACATTCATGTGTTTGAATAAAATAATTGGAAATACTTTTATAAAATATACATGCTATTACTTTAATATCAATTATGGATAATTCTACATAAATTACAAATCTTAAAAACATAAAAAAAAAACTCGAACTATTAAAACATCCATTTTTTAAAATCTTTTATGTGATATATCGAGATATGATATGAATGATGAATGATTGTCGATACATAAAGTATGGTCTATGGATAATAAGCGATTTTTCGGAAATCACTAGGTAGAAATGATACCAAGATAAATCAAATGTACACTATAATAAGATAGATATTATGAAGATTGTATATGTATAATATTACACCATCAATAATAATTTAAATGAATTGATTAAGTTTAACTATATTGATAAGATGTAATTAACTTTTTGATTTTCTAAATGAAATTTCAAAATTAGATTTATTTGATCTGTAATAGTTTTAAAATGAGTGATATTTTGAAAAGTGTAACGACTCGCGACCACTACGAAATATCGAAACTACCCTCACACACCAACACGAAACTTTCTAGCGTAATTTACATTCGCATGCATACCGAGACATTTCCTAATAAGTCACCCATCAGAGATGGTTTTAGAGTCAGCACGTTTAACTTGGGAGTTCTCTTGAGATATTCAACCAAAAAGGTAGGTGCACCATTTTGTTATGAGTAATTCAACTAATTCTTTTATGTTATCTTAAACTATATAGTTTCATACATATATAGCCCTCGAATCTCCCTCATTCTGGTGCATTCGATTCATTCTTGTATCCCTTTGGTTTTTGCGGTATTCGAGAAATCGCTCTTTGACCGTGTTATCTGCACCGACGAATACTTTCAACCCTTATTATATTTCAGAATACCACAAAAAGTATTTTTTAGAAAATATGTAAGTGAAAGATAAAACATGCTAAAATATTTTGAATTAACCTGTAGAAAAATTTCAAGCTTCCGTAACACGTTCATATAAAGTTTCACTATCATTCTCAAATTTAAATAAAATATAAAAATTAAAAAAACAAGTTTAAAAAAGATAAACTATATTTTTCTAAAATTTTAATTGTAATTTTTTAAATGATTACGCGTTTTTACGTTTTTTTTGTTTCTAGCTGATTTGTAAATATTAAAATAATTATTATTTTGTAGATTTTAAATAAATGATGAACTTTTGGTTTTGTGACAAATAGTCTGTCAAGTACATGATGTCACCCATGCATACTTTGTCACAATTCGTTTTAGTTTCTGAATCTCACATGGGTTGGCCCCATTCTATTAAAATCTTCATTCATTTTTCTCTCATCACGTTTTCATATTTTTTGTATTTTTGGGATCTATAATTCTAATATAAATTAGTGAAATGTGTTCTAATTTTATATTTTAGAAGGAAATAAAAAGTGTTCTGTCCAACGAAAAGAAAGAAAACTGTCAAATCCCTAAACTTTGTTTCCCTTTCTTGTTCTATATTTCCAAAAATAGTAAATTCTATTTTTTATATATTTTTATGTCGTTATTAAATTATTCATTCTAGCTATACTTTATTACTTTTGCCTTTTGTTTGTCCAATCCATTGTATAAATTATTTTTATCCATGATTATATAATATTATGAATTTTTCACCGAATGCATACGTGTTTTTGGGGGTCTTACAGTAATTAATTTGTTTGGAAATTAAATACCACGATTCATCTGACACCGATCACAACATGCATTTCATATTATAACATATTTTTAAAAAGAAAAAAAACGTATATTAATTGAAGGATCTTACACTTTGTATTTTAGTTTTTTTAATATATATATGGAAAACCTTGAAACCATGTTTATTCTTCGTAAACATATAAAATATTTAAATTTTTCTGTAAAAAGTTATTCTTACATCATTACAATGAAATGAGTATTTTTTCTGAAATGTTGATATAATTTACAATTATCATATATAAATCTACTACATGAATATAGATGGAAAAAAAGGAATCTTTTTTAACGAAAGGTGTTAATCATTTAATTATTCATACGGATTTGTTTAGTTCCAAATAATTTTTTTTTTATAATTTGCATAAAATAATTGAATAACGATTTTTAGTCTTGAGAATTGGTGCATGAAACTAATATTATATTTTTTTGTTAAGTAGTATTTATATTGAGAGTGAATTTACATAGCATAATTCTGAGAAAAATCGGAAGGTATGCTTCTAAATTGCTGTATTGCAAATTTTAAAATTTAAATTTGAAAAATATTCATTCGTTGTGTAATCGTTTCTGTGTGAAAGACTAATTACAAATTTTAGATATATTAAAACGTTTTTAAAATTTTTCAAATCAAACGTCAATATTTATAAATATCCAATTTTAAATATACAATGAAGTTGGAAAGTATCAAACTTTACACTTAAACAGAAAATATAATAAAGCAAAAAAAAAGTTGAATGATGGGAAGATCTGACAAACACACTTCTCTTCTCTCTCTCTCTCTCTCTCTCTC